CTACTCGCACTGTCATACTCACAAGATAGCAAGAAAGTTCAGGTCAGTGGGGTACTTGCACCATAAGTGGTGCAACACAACTAATAAGATTAGCAACAGGCTCTTCCAAAGAATCAAGCCGCCTTCCCCTGAATCCATGTTTGTACGACTGTAGGAGTATGCACATGCATGTCTGCATATGTTTGTAGAATCTTTGCAACATACACGGCAGCGGAGGGCTGATTGTGTATAAGTCCGCTGTACACGAGCTGAAAAACTTTCATTGTAAACGTGTTCTGGTCGGGATTGGGGTACCTCCGCTTTCGATGTTCAATCGACAGAATGGTGTTACAACGCATTGGATTTCATGCTGGGGCATTGTTGGGGAAGACTCCCATCTTGACCTCAGGCATGGGAGTTTGGCCAAGTTGCTGCTCACCAAATAAAAAAAACTCAAAGCAAAAGACTGCGTCGAAAACAGGAATCCAGCTGAAGCAATTTAAACATAAACCCTGAACCCAAAATCTAATATACAAGCCGCGGTCCCTCTCAACTACTAAACCCTAAACCCTAAACCCCTAAACCCAAAACCCTAACCCTTCTCCCTAAAGCCTAGGCCCTGTGTGAGCCCAGGAGCTGATCAGCATTGCTCCGTACCAGTTTGCGGCCAGGAACCAGGCCAGCCCTCCTGTTCCCCAAAATCGAATGAACAAATATCTATATCTATATATGTATATTTACATGTACATATATATATATATATCTATCTATCTAATGGTACTATATGCTGGTGTTTTACTACCCGGGTGAGGGGGGGTCTTATTGTCAGGGGACGGCATTGATTCCGAAGAGTAGTTAAGAGTCTGGGATCCGGCGCAGAGTTCTGAGCATGAGTTCACAGGGGCTTGAGGTTTAGGGTTTAGGGGGTAACTTCTCTGTCCGGATCTGATTTTTCGGTTTCACAGGGTGTGATTTGGACGCCCATGAAATGTTCATGGCGTTGGGAAAAGGCGCAGGGGACTGAGGGCTTGCCGAACAAAGCAGCATGCGGGCTGAGGCTGCAAGAAGCTAGGATTCCTGAATAGGGTTTAGGGTTTAGGGTCAACCTGCCCGGTGCTTAGCAGAAGTTGGAGAAATGGACACCAGAGATGGCTTCAGATGGATGCTAGGGCACTACTACAGGGATCCATTCCCTGACTTCCAGTTACGTAATCCTTGCGCTTGCTTTCTGGGCGCCCTCTTGAACCAAGGATTTCATGCGAAAGTGTCTGGAACAGAAAGAAGAAGCCTGCCATATACGTATATGTATATTCTATGTACCTACATATACACAGTAAAATATCTCAAGCGCGTGCATATACAGACCCTGAATCATAAATCTTGAACCATGGGCGCCAGATCACAGTCACGCCTTGTACACTCTAACCCTAGAGGTCCAGTACCTAATAATCATAAACTTACCCAAAACCTGTACTAGAATTAGTTACTACGTTACTACTGTTGATGGAGAAAATCTTGCACCACACTAAGTCCCTAAAGTCCTAGGAATTATAGCAGTTTAGGGCCGGTATAGGTGGTGCAAGATTTCATCCATCAACAGTATTACCGTAATATTACCCAAATCCCAAGTACCTCATTATTGGGTACTTGGACCATCTGGGTAATACATAGGGAGAATAACTTGGCATAATGGAGTCAGGGCGAACCACAACAGAACATGACAGTCGGCAGGGATTGTCTCGTCTTGACTTAAAACTCTTAGCACCGTAAGCTTTTGCCACAACACACCCCAAGCACAACACTGCCTCAAACTAGCACGGAATCCCAAACAGGGATCCGACAGCCCGCTGCTTGTCGAAAGAAAAGGGCTACATGAGGTTCCATTCTGCTTTGCGGAGGGTCTCCCAGGCTCTTTCTTGTTCTTTTAGTCCTTTATGGCTTTGCTGAGTGCTTGGTGGATGGCTCCAAGGCTGTAAACTTTCGAGCCTAGGGCATTTTGGAGCTTGAGCGGTCGAGGACAGTTCAAGGTTTGGATTTTCTTTAGCAGGTCTTTGGAACTCCCGAAAAGCTTGGCACAACAGCCCAGTCATTAGCGCAACAACTAGGGGCACCCCCCCTTCTCGCCGACGCAGGAAACCCAGAAACTACGGCGCAGGGCACCTGCCTGTGACCCCAATTACCTACAGTTTTATGAGTTATACCTACTAATTAAGGGGGTAATGGCTACTAAGCTGTATAGGTAATTGGGAGTCGCAGATACTTCCACAGATGAACACCTGTTCAGATTCGGATGAAAGGCGCGACCAGACGAGAAACCTTACCAAACGTCCTGGAGCTCAAAAAAGATCGAAAGACCTTACCCTCAATGTTGGATATCCCGAAAACCTTGGAAGCCCAGAAGATGCCGACTTGAACCCCAAGCGTTCATGCCTTTCGCACTCCAACATCCTAGATCCTAAGCCCTGAAGTCTACTAGACTCTAGCCGGCCAGACCCAAAAATTTAGTACCTTTTTGGTAGTCCTACTAAGAGACTTATCCAAAAAGCCATACCAAACCCCCAAAAAGGAATTACATTGGAGGGTCCAGGTTATAAACCCTAAGATCTGGTAGTTTCCCAAAACAAGAAGACCCCAATATAGACCCCAATATACTATATAGTCCTTATTATAAGGACCCCCTAGGGTACCCCTAATTTTGTGAAACACCCATCTCCTACAAGTGAAGCAAGGCAAAGCCAATTGCCGCAGCTGCGACGGTTCCAGCCCCAGTGGAAATAGCCTCCATTAGGGTTTAGGGTTTAGGGTCTAGGGTTTAGGGTCCAAGTACCCAATAATTTGGTCCCTTCTAAAGTGATATTAAAGGAGCGTTTGCCGAAACTCCTTGAAATGTTTGATGCCATGGACATCTTGAGGGGGATCCTATGGCTTTTGGGGTGTTTTGAGTAGGATGAAGGAGAGGTATCGCTTTTGGGCGGTCAAGCCATAACACGGTCATGGCTTCATCTTAGATTGAGCGGTATGCTTTTGGGGGGGGGGGGGTCCTATTATGTCCTATTGCTTTTGGGGATTGTTGCGTGATTCCTGCATCTCACGGCATTCCCTCTCTTCGTCCCTATAATACGCGAGTGCTGACCATCGCTCATATAGTTATAGTATGCGTAGATTTGCAGTGACTCTGTTCCCCAATGTAGGGACGTTTGAGGTTCCCTGTACCATGCTCATAAAGTGACTTGCTAGGCTGCTAGACTCTTGACATCTAACATGTGAGGGTGGAAATTAGAGATCTGCGAAAAACCATGCAAGGCAATGCAAACCACGTCAAAGGCCTTCATTCGGAGGCCACTAGTTTTTGTGGGGCCCGTTGCGGGATCCATGTTACATCGGGGAGCTTTCTTCTCAGACAAAATCTTCAATAGCTATTGCTTATGCCCCTTTTTTTACAAAACATGCAGGCGCAACAACCCGAGTTCCGCCACGAGCCAAAGTGTTGACAGTTTTTATCATCCCTATAGTAAGCCATTGAGGTAGCAGCTCCAAAGTTGTGCAACGATATGACTTTCAAATGACAGTGCTGAGAGGAATTTTGATGATTAGTCTCTTGAAGAGGAGCTGTCTGCAATGGTCATTTGGAGAATTGCCATCGCCGCAGCACCCCGGGGATTCGCAATCGTCGTCTTGCCACCAATAAGGTCCTTGGGATTGTTGTAATGATTAGAGTGCATGACGCGTTGGGGAAGTATGTGATTGCCGGGTATCTGGACGTCTCTATCAGGATGTGAAGTTCTTTTTTTGGCGGTCAAAACAACTGAAAAAACACATCAGCTCTATAAACCCGAAAGCACATGTTCATCGACCCTTGTGCGCCTTGTATTTCTGTCCAGACAACCCGAGGAAGCTCCTATCTGACCCATGCCTAATATCTCTGCAGTCTCAAGTAGAGGATGCCCCACCTGGCTGTCTTGAAAACTCAAATTCACATGAATTCTTCCCAAGAATTACACAACAAATGGAAGAAGACCAAGAGTGAAATCCAAACACGGAGGACGCGGGAAGTGGGCGCAATTCCAGACTTTGCAGGGCTGAAAGAACACTTTGGCACTGCTGCGGAATCTCAATCTGCAAAAACATCTACAGCAGTCGTGTTTTCCAGTATCCCAACTACATAGACTCTAAGGCCAAAAGGAATGTGGACATCCAATGGCATACGGAAGCCCAATCTAATAGGAATCCACAGTTCTGGGTTCTACCTGTGTATAGCAAGAAATGGAGGAATGCACCTCTGCGGTAGTCTCTGGACTATCCCTGCTACTGTAGGCCCTAGAACCCGTATCTTTTTAATTCCTTACCACCCTGAACCCTAAACACTAACCTCAAACATAAAAATGAGTTGCATGTGATTTCCCTCATGTCCTTCTCACTGCCGCCACAGGTGAGCCGAGGAGTGTGACCTACCACCCAAGCCCTCAACCATGTAAGGCAGGAGCCTGAATAATTGCCAATACCTTTTTGAAGTCTATTTAAGGTGCCCCATACCATATACTTACAAGAAACCTAGGACCATAACGCTGGTGATTTTATTTTTGCTCCCGATAATACAAAGCAGGCCGAGGGTCATGACTGCTGCCAAGGTGGCCATCACGCCCCCCAAGCCGCAAGACCACCACAGTGGGGCTTGCTCAAAGACTGTCCGTTTCTCCTGCTAGGAGGATGGGGGCGGGGTTACATCTGGGGCCACCATGAAATCTTAAACCCTCAGCAGTTCTAGCAAGTTCTGGATGACTTTAACTAAAACAACAAAGCAGAGGAGCAAGAGCAGCTGGCTTGTCGTAACCTCACTTTTTAAAGCATGGGTGCACGCAAAATGCACTTCTAAAAGAGAGCCTTGGCTGAAAGTGATTGAATGGCGATTTGGGAGACACCTGTAACCTCAGGCACCTACAGTTTTATGAGTTACGCCTGCCAACTAGGGGGTAATTGCTACTAAGCTGTGAGTTACAAGCAATTTGGGGAGCAAGTACAGATTATCGCACCATCGCCTCGCGGACTTCGTGCAAGTTGAGGAGAACTTCGTGAAGAAGAACGGGCCTGGCTCTTGAGATATAAAGTAGGTTGATACTGAATAACTTAGGAGGACACCCACCCTGTAATAGTGGTATAATAGGAATATAAGAGGACCCTAGTATAATCCCTATTATCCCCTATAGTCACTATTACTAGGTGGGGGGTCCACCTAATGAATAACTGATTACTACGGTTACCAATGTTACTAATGTTACCATTGCTACTACTGTGACGACTGTGACTACTTTTACTACCACCAACCAGAATTAACAAAAAAAATGTGTCCAAGCAGGGAGACAACACCTTACAATCCTACCAGATACAGTATGAGCTACAACCACCACTTCTCATGTACAGTAGTGGGTGGACATAAGCGTCTACTATGGTTAGTGACCCTTATGTTCAACCTTGCTGGTGCCTTGGTAACTGGGCAGGAGCTCATATCAGTAGTTCATTCTTTTGTTGTAGCACCTGGAAAGGTTACAACTTCTTGGAAACAGGGAAGCCGCCCAAACGAGGGATTGGGTTTTAGAGTTCAGGGTTGCGGGAAGAACTCTACAGGGATATGATGATATGTGGGGCTGTAGCGGAGAAGCAAATGAACAATGTAGAATGACATGGAAACTGGATTTCTATGTGGCTATAGAGATTATACAGAAGTAGTTAAGTTAGACTTCCATATGTGTGTTCTGTACAGAGCAAGGTGCAGTAGAATCTCACTCCGCATCGAGGACTGCAGCATCCTTGTTTCAAGTACTTCTTCATTTTGTTGTAAAGGGTCGCAAATTCGGCACTAGGGCCCTGTGAACGAATTGGATATGCGGTCATCAAAAATGCTAAAGGAGCATGTTGAGAAGCTTCCTAAGCCAACACCAATAAGCACAAGAATGAGGATGCCAGTCTTAGCTATAACCGTAAGCTTTTTTCTCGACAACAATAACGAAAGAGAAAAAAAAATAACAGTAGCCAACATAGCATGTGAGTATTCGGAGCATCTAGGACATGTCAATGCAGAACTCATGTAGACAAGAGTAACTATATCCTTAACATTGTAGGTCTTGGCAGCAAGGCAACACGACAGTTTGTGGGGAGGCGCCTTTATCGATCTGCCTGGAGGCTAATGCAGTGCTGGAAAGCTGCGAGGCAAATACAGAACTATATCACAACAGAGTACGTTCGCACGTGATCCATGACATGGCACCTGGACCCTGCACCTACTTGAGGGGAAAGTTGTGTGGTCGCCCTGCGCTTTGAACCATGACCTCTCAGCCACCAGGTGGCTGTCAGGACCGACGGGCGTAGCCTAGAACTCCTGACTGTATTTTACCAGAGAAGCATGCGGTGTATTCCTCATTCGCAGCCACACAACTAAAACCTTCAGCCCCAAAACTATCCTAGCTGCCCCAAAGCCCTAAACCATGAGCCCATAAGCCGTCAACCTTAACGCCGTAGATGAGCTGAGGAAGCGGCGTCGTGTCCATGCGTAGCCCGACACTGGATGCGCCCACATTGAAGGTGCTCTCCGTGCGCTGAACTGCCATGTCGTGGGGATGTCCTCCGAGACGGTTAGGGTTGATGGTGTGGGGGGAGGGCCTTTCAAACTGTGCCAACTACAAACAGGGTTGAGGGCACAGGAAGTAAAGGATTGCGGGGTTCCCTTCGAAGTTTCTGCAGGCCACCATTTAAAAATGCCAAGCTTCTATGGCTTTGTAGAGCTCATGTAAGCTACTCTGAGAGTACTTGCTTTGCACATTTCTTGGCCACCCAGCTCTAAGAACGTCCTTTGTTGACCTTGATGTCGCCCAAGGCAAAGTCACATCTCTTGGTTGTCACCAGGCTGGCTTTCAGGTAGTCCACAAACATGGCTACAAACTGCCCGATCTCTTTGCTGCGCGATGCAGGGTCATGCTCAGCGCAGACTGGCACGCTTGATTGCAGGCGTTGGGCTATTGTCCGTTGAAGCTTGTCTTGCTGTAATATGCAAAAGTCATACATCAGAGACTCGTGCAGAGCGGTGGGCGTACAACAAAGAGAGCCAGAAACCGCAGCACACCACTCCAGTGTGAGCCCACGCGGGCCAGCATTGGCCACCCCGTGCGTACTCAGCTGATCTAGTCGTACCAGTGTTTCTTCTGCGACGTTACGCAGCAAGATGTGGCTGGCGAGATCGAGACCTTGGCTCTGGAGTGGCGCAGGCGTCAACACTACCCGAGTTTGCCTTAGGCTTGCATTGCCCACAGGGGCCCAAGCTACACTAACAAGGTCCACCGGTTGGTATCCGAGAGACGCAAGTCCTTTTGCCGCTGAGAAGGCCGCTTGGTGCTGCAGTCGATGAATACCCGCTGCCCTTCCACTTCCCGCAGCACAAACCCGTAGTAAGAGGTCTTCTTATGCCAAGTGACGGGGAAAGAAAAGTTGAAGATCCATAGATCAGCAGTGCTGCAATCATATACTGTTCCACTCAGGTGGCTGTGATATTCGAGAACATTGTTCCGACCAGCAATGAAACCTCCTCCAGCATTGCTCAGGAGTCCTTGGTTCGTTAAGCTGCATATGCCGCTCACCCCATGCAACTACAAACGACTCCGGGTGTAGCTCGGCAGACATTCAAAACATGAGATAACAAGGTCCCAGAAGCCTAGCTTCTTGCATATCTCGGACAGCTTGCCCCTGCGGGTCTTCTGCTTCACGACAAGGCGTCCCAACCACGGTGTCTCTCGGAGGCCTAGGCCCAGTTTGGGTTCTCTCTTACAATCACATGCCAACTACAGTGCCGGGCTTAGGGTCACCCAGTCTAGACCAGCAGCACAACTCTGCCAAGATGTTCATCTCGTCCTCGTCCAGAGTAAGCCCGTTCGAAACCTAGGAAGAACAGCATTGGCAGAACCAATGCGACTGACATTATGAGCTTTCCTGGGCTATATATAGCCTACAGCTCAGCAACGTAGCCCAGTATGCCTGTCATTCCTGAATCGGAGATACAAATCCCGCAGGCTACCGGGCGCGAAGCTGAATGCCGCGGCAAACAAACCCAGGACCAAGAATCACAGGGCGTTTTCAGAAGAACTATCAGACGACAAGGCATCCAAGGGAAACAGAAAAGCACGCCACGCCTCAGTCTCTAAGTTAAGTTCCAGTACTTTGGAACACCACCACGACTCACGCCACATCGATACGCGCGGCACTGTGCGTCCATGCGCCAGTCCTAGGCCACCCTGTGAACCGAAATGTACACCTGCAACGTGAGCTCTGTGACTGCTTTCCTAGTTCGAAAGCCCTTCACACATCTAAATGGGCCATACTCCATGGGTTCAAGAACCATCACATCGGACTCCACTCAGCCCCTAGTATGCTGAACACTTGCTATGCTGAAGCTGCAACTGGCAGCATGACATGAACTTCTATGAGCCATATGAATCCGATTGCCGCTGTGGTTGTCACTGGGACCCTGAGTTATGCCCAAACCAAACCCCTAACATTGCCCTGTGTCCAGGTTCTCAGATAGCAAATCTGTTGCACGCATAATTGTAGCACACATTTTAACATTGAAGCAGCACTTGTAACCGTTCTGGGTTGCTTTGGACCCTTACGCCTTATATGCGCCTGTCCCTACTATCCTCAACCTACTGAATCCTGGACCCCTATCCTGCCCTGTATAAGTATGATCCCGGTAAATACCGAAGAACATTGCCCGAAAGGCCAAATCAAAGTTACACTTAAGCCTTAAATACTCATTTTGTCATCCAGAAGCATGTGCGTCAGAGACTTCCCGAAGCCATGTTCGTACAACGTCAGCCGAGTGCGGGCTGAGGGCATAGACGCTTAAGCCAAACCTGAATAAGGCGAGTAGGCAGTTAGGAGGTGGTTGGGGGGCTGTAGGCTTTGGGTATGGGAATGCCCAAACACCAGTCCATGTTTGGTTGTCCCCATACAAGAAGACTTTTAGCGCTTGGGGATTTGACAGGGGATCTCCCATATCGAAAATGCCCATACAGGGATTTGTCCGGCTTCACTTGGGGCGTAGATAGGTTCCAGGATAGGATTCTGGCTCTAGCCGAAGTAAGCTATACCTTCCATTAAAGCTCCTATATTGGGAAGACTTCATCCACAGGAAAACAGTAAACCCTAAACCCTAGCTCATCAAGTCCCGATCCAACCACCATAAAACAACTACAGCAGGAGATTGGGGCAAGGCAGGAATCACCAAACCTTGGCCTGATCTCAACCCTAAAGGTTTTTAGGGTCTAGGAATTTCCTTTTTCCTAAACCCCCAAAGTATCTAAAACAATAGCTTTTTTGTCTAGATTCAGGGGTTGGGGGGTATTGTTTCAGCTATTTTGTGGGGCTTAGGTTAGGGTTTAGGGCGACTCTTGACCCTAAGCCCCTGTTCTTTGGGTTTTGGACCATGTCCTCAACAATTCGCACGTCAGAGTGGCACTGGCGGAAGCCAAAAATTGAAGCTGTACATTTGGATTGAAAGAGAAGTGGGTCAATTTTTGAAGGTCCTCAGGCTGTGCCTTTGCAGGGGTGGATCGGAGGGACCAAAGGTTCTCGCAAGCACCCAAATGCTACTGTTACCCATAACTCTCGAATGCTCCTGGTTATAAGGTGAGGTTTTCCCTCCCTGGCCCTAACAAGCTGAGGAACTGCATGTCAACAGCGGGTGGCCAGTGCTCTGTAAAGAGGCCATTCCCGAAGAGGAAGATCACGGCCACAATGACAAAGTCCGGGTTGTCCGTTCCCAACACCGGCAGCTGAAACAACGGAGGTTGCCTTTCCCAAAGGGTCCAGTTACATAGAAAATATATGAGCTACGGACCAAGGTTGGTGGGACTTATAAGGAGATGTATAGGGGACTGCGGGGGACCTTCGAGGAATATCTTGTAATTTTAGTCCAGGGCTCATTGGAGCGCGAAAAGGCTTCTGTACAGAATTTAAGGTTTTAGGGTCTGGAGTTTGGGGTTTAGGGTTTCGGTAGGTATCTTAGGGGTCACATGTGCGGCTTGTCAGTAGCTGTACCCTTTGCTTTTTGGCGCTACAGAATACGATAAGTGTCCGAGGGCTAGAGCCAGTGAGCCAGTATATAACGAATGTGGGGTTTACGGAAGGCAGGAAGTGGGCATACAGCACCTCAATGAAAGGGCTGTCCTTGGTCACAGGTTTTGCAGTGCATCGATGGCCTGTCTAGAGCGTCTCGGAGCTTTTCCAACTTCTGGCCAAAAATCATAGAGGCGTGCTTGAGGAAGTCTTGATAGGGCAGCTCCTGCGCGTGGAAAGAATTGGCTCTTGTGACAGGCAAGTTTCCGCAGAGACCCAAACATGCTCACGGCATCCTTCTTCATGGCCCCGAGCACAACAAGCGTCTACGGAGCTTGGGATTGTGAACTTACTGACCTCAACCAGAATTCCGTCATGGACGATGAAGAAAAAATGAGTTGCTTTCCCAGCAAATGACTGAAGACTAGACTGATTTGTACAATCAGGCTTCTTGCGCAACTGTTGCTTGCACGGCAGCTTGTGTGGATCATCGCTTCCAGGCTCCTAAAAACGACGATGTGCAGTCCATTTATATTGGTTTACGGGCTTGCAGCAGTGACATGTGATTAGTGAATGTCTTGTCACTACTAAGCCTATCCGTGCAGTCTTATCTGTGCGAAATGTTTCTGACGACTGATGAGCGTGCTCCTCCCGCAGTGTGCTCCGCTGCTCTTGCCGCTTGATATGGCCAGTCACAAGCTGCAGGAGTTCTTCCTTTGATGCCAAATCCTAACTAGACCTCGAAGCCTGGCTCCTTCGGTTCGTTGTGGATGGTAATCCTAAACTCTTGGCCATGCTTCTTCCACGCGCTTCGACCGTCGAAGTCGATCCATCTCCCAGGCAACGCCAGCAAGTGCTGCCCCCGTGACCATGGTACCCGCCACAACAGCCTGAGATGGTTGGTTCCCTTCATGGTCTCAGTACCCAATAGACATATACGAACACATATACCTATCCAACACCTGTGCTTCATTTGCTGTGACCCACATTCTAAGTACCTATTGTTGGGTACCGTTACCCTTCAAGCTATGTTCTCAACAACTTACTTGCAGCAGAACTTGCAGCAGAACTTGCAGCAGATTTCCTTCAAGCTTTCAACCGCCATTCTGATTTACAAGTGACGAAAGTAAATTAAAGATCATCTACTGCAGATTCCACTGTAGATTTTCTCATGGATCGGGGACCTTGGGCTTCAAGATCGTGGTCAGAAAGGCTTGCATGCACCTTAAGGTGTATGATCCTTTCAGGCACAGATTGCTTGCACACACACACACAGAGAGCATGTAAGTTGCTTGGGCTCATGTATCCTACAATGTGACCAGCGCAATGTCAAGAGTACTGCAAATTGCCCGGGATCTGGGTCTGGTGCCCGAAATATCAGCCTGTGTAGGTATCTGCGAATGCTCAAAGTCCCTTTTTGAGGGACCCCAGGTAAGGATTCTAGTAGTTGGGTTCATGCATATGGGGTACCCAACTTTTGGAAAACCGGCCTGTAATATGTCCTTCAGGCCTTCAGAGATATAATGCCCCCGTCAGACTTTGTACACGATTGCCTTCTCACCCTTGGAGATGGCCTCACCTTTTGAGAGCCATACACTTGCTTGCTGTTAAGGAACTTAAATTAAGTTACTATATTGGGAAACCCTATTATTTACTGTATATACCCATTATGGTAACTTAATTTAGGTTCCTTAACAGCAACCCAGGAATATGAGAATTCCGTGGGCAATCTCAACTGTCCAAAACTAACAGCTCGTGTCACTAGCCCAAAGCACCAAGGTGCCCTGATACCCTTGAAGGCCGCCAGGCCATGATTGCGAAGTGTCTGTTTAGGGTTTAGGGTTTTAGGCTTCTAGGGGTTGTAGGGTTTTAGAGGTTTTGGGTTTGGGGATGAAGGTGTGCGAAAGGAAAAGTACTGAGATTATCTTGACCCCCAAAACCGAGTATACAATGGCCATGTACTTGGGGGCCGTTATACTAGTAATCATTGCCTAGGCTTTGCGGAGTCTATGATAAGTATGTACTTTGGACCCTTAGGGCAAAGTCAAAAAGAGTCTGCTCTTGCTCCTGCCCTCCATGTAAGGCCTTAATCTTGCGCCAACCTCCAAAGACCCACATGCCAGATAACCTAGCAACCCTTGATTCATATGAGCTATAGTCTAAACTCCTATTATCCCCCTTAATAAGCCCTATAGAAGTCTCCTACATAATCCCTTATATTAGCCCCTTCAAGGAGTTTAGATTATGGCTCATATAGGCCGTGGGAGCACTAACCCTACATGTCCAAATAAAGGGGATCCTGTCACCTGAAGCCTAATTTTCGCATTGGTTCACTTAGGGAAAGGTTGTAAAACCCAAAACCCTAAACCCTAAGCCCCAAAGCCAAGAAGCTGATGTTGTGGACATTTTGGGCAGAAGGCTGCGCCGCCAGAGCGGCCAGGTATGGCACCAAGGCTATATAGCAGAGCAGAACTACGGAATTACTCTAACTAACTGGTGTGATGCTGACGAAGTGCCGCTTTTTTTGTTTTGCCTGGGACGAGTGAGGTTGGTGACTTTCAGGCTTACACTCTACATGCAGGATTTAGGCAGACGCCTGGGGAAGTTTGCAAAATGAACTTTCAGAAGCTTTGAGATTGCTGTCAGAAAGTTGGCCGTGCCAACGTGAACATGCTTTAGGTACCCTGCCAACATGAGCTATATCAAGACCCGGATCACCCCTAAGCCTCAAAGCCATTCAGCAGGAGCCGAAAACGTTCGGGATGTGCTTTTTGGTGGTTGAACGAAGTAAGATTATTCGTAGAAAGTACGGTAACCCAAAGGAAGATACAATGAAGCAACCTATCGCATCCCTTTTTGACATACGGCTAACTTCAGAAGATACGCGCCCAGGCTGAATGACCCAGTCGAGAGAATGCAGTCCCAGTCCGAGGCTGTAAGCATTCCTGCGGCTCAAACAGACCATCCATGAAACGACGGGTTTTCAACCCTTGCAACATCCCCCAAGCACGGGCAAATAATGCAATGACAGCAAAGGTCTCCTTTGGATTCGTAGACAACAATGCCAATCTCACATGAATCTGTAGGAAGCCACCGAGAAGAACCAAAGGGGCAAGGCAACCCTGCATTCTGGGCAGATGGAAAGTACACGCTCAGGAGTTCCTTTGTAGTGGCTTGATGCCAAGAAACAATTATCAAACAGCACCACGCCCTTGAAGGAGCGACGCAGGACGTGTTGAGAATTTTACAGCTCACCATGTGGGTGATTTCCGCAAGTTGGGCCCCAGCGTGAACCATGTTCCACACCCTAAAACCCATCTTATTCCCACAAGCCAGTCGAAAAGCACCCACATGTTTGGGAATTGCCCAGACAGCCAGCCTGCTCCCGAAGTCTGGTTTCAGTCTTCTGCGCGGAATCCCGTTCCTCACTGAGATTTTGCCTCAGCTCCTCCGACCGATTCAATGTTTAGGGTGAGGACGTGTTTTTGTAGTTTTCTTAATACGGGACCCCACGGTAGACCCCATTTACTGCAATCCTATAGTCCTACTTCCAAAAGAGGGACCTCCATTTTTGTTGAAGACGCCCGTTTAGGCTGTAGAGTGTCAGTTCATGCCTTTAAGGCAGAGCGTTTGGACATTTAGGATGACAGTTCTAGGGTTGTGAGAATCAGTTCAGAATCCAGCAATCCAAGACAATATGAGGGATTCCTTTCAAGGCGCGCTCTTGGAATTGTATGTGCATTTGTGCATAAGCTTGTGCCTACCCATGCTTTTTCCACGATTAAGCTCCAGCTGCTACACACCGAGTCCTCAATTTCATGGAAAAAAGGTTGCAAAACCTAAGCACCAAACCTTTAACCACAAACCAGATCTTGCACTAAATGAAAGCCTCAATCTAAACCCCAAGTATTACCCTTGAGGCTGTTTAATCTTCCCCCGGATAATCCCTATATAGCCCCCCTTTAAGGACTTTAGACTATGGCCCATCCCCTCGTAATTACCCGAAGACGATCCTCAAACCTCATCCCTAGGCCCTAACCCCCACAGTAGTTTCCATTTCCTCTTCTCCCGTAACACCCAGAAGTGGTACTACTGTGGATGGAAGAAATTTTGTACCCTAAACCCTAAACCCTAAACCCTACCCCAATAATTACAGTATTTTGGGGGACCTCAGGGGTGCAAGATTCTTCCATCCACTGCACATTGGGAGACTGAAGGCCCAGCGGCAACTACCAAGGTGACTTTAAGGGGTTGAGGGATTAGGGGTTTATAGGCGGTAAGGGGTAGGGTTTAGGGTTTACAGTATCCCTAGGGATCTAAATAACCCAATGCAGGTAAGTTTTATAGACTAAAGGCCCCAACGCATGTATTATTTCTAGACACGTATTCCCAGTGCATGGCTGAGAGCCTACATGTCAGATCCTAAACTTACCCTGCTTCTTGCGTGTCATATAAAACGAACACCAACCCCTGAGCCCTAACTCCAATTACCTACAGTTTTATGGGCTATACCTACTAATTTAGGGGTAATTACTATTGAACTATAGGTAATTGGGGTTGTAGGTAAGCCCTATGGATCTTCATCCTAAGCGCAAACCCAGAACTCCTTAACGCAAGGCACCTCGAGACTGGCCGGCTGCAGAAAGCATGGGGTATTGGGCAATCAAGGCCCTTAGTCCCCCTTAAGTAGATAGAATATGGTGTATATGGGGATCTTATTATAAAATACCCAAAACCATATTCAATATTCTATCTACTTAAGGGGACCATGATCTTGAAACCACTTTGCAACACCCGTAATCTGTAGCCCTTGTGGCCTGCGGCCCCGCAGCCCAACGGCAATGCAACGCGGTTCAGCGTTTGCGGAAGACAATGCATCCTAAACTCAAGTCCCCAAACCCAAATCCTAGACCTTCAGCGCCAAGTCTTAATGCCGACCTGTAACTGCAAGTTACCTACAGCTTAATAGTAGTTGCCCTAAAGTAGTCGGTTTACCCCATAAAACGTCAGGTATTCGGGGCCACAGGCAATGTCTCTAAGTCCTAAGCCCATGCACCCATGTACAGTGCCAGTTTTGTCAGTTTCCATTCTATGGTCACTCCTTTCCATCTGATTCTCCATTCTCCCTGAACCCCTGGCCCCAAACCCGAAAGAATATAGTCGTCGCCACGTATTTCCCATGCTCTTTTCTATTTAAATCTCCGTTGACGTAATGCCTCTAAACCCTAAACCCTGAAGTTCTAAGAACCCTGAACCCTAAAGTTCTACTAGCGCTGTATGCTAAGCCGTCAAGTTCTAATACCTA